TGCTGCCGACAATCTTGGCTATGCAATCCCCCACCACAATACAAGTCTTATGCAATGAAAATGGTACATCATTTTTTGAATTCACCAAGAATCAAAGTTAAATAAAGCTTCATAAGTTCATATGCAAAAAATGGCGAATAGTTTTCCCAATAGCAAGAATGAACGAATCTAAAATACTTGTATATTATGTAATTATACTTTTACACTATCTTAGATCCGGCCATTCTAGCCCTTACGGGAAACTTCAACATTACAATTTCTAAAACTATGCACCAAAAAAGAACAAAAACATATCCAAGGAACGAAAAAAACGTTCAAAAACATGTCTTAGAGTCTTTTAATTCTTCATTAAAGAACTAAGATATCATCCACCACTTCATTGATCAAAGAATCAATCAACCAACTCTCAATCTCAACTCCATATTCAAACACTTCAACATCAAAATCAAGCCATCTTTTATACCCTTCACCACTCATGTCCTTATCAACAAGCTCATCCACCATACTATCTTTCATATCTTCCCACCCCACAATCTCTTTATACACATCTTGAGCTAACCGATTAGGTCTACTCACCATGGCTAACCCTTTACCCCACACCCTACACCTTGTCTCCATGCATTCACTCACACAATTGAACACAAGCTCACGCCTCAACTTAACCATTTCTTCATTCGGTTTACCAAACTCTAACTTATCAAACACACGTGGGTTCACAATCTTTCGAGTCTTTCCTAATGTGAAATCTGTGAACATGGTTTCAATATCTTCAAGCACTTGTGTAACATAATCGGGTTCCCATTTGGTGAGTTTTGAGGTGGAAGAAGCTGAGTCAAGTAACTCGGTGTCAACATCCATGGGAGTTGAGTTTCTTGAAAAGGTGTTAGCTTTACCAATTAGCTCTTGTCCTTGAACAGAAGTTGAATTCGGTTTACAACTATCAGCAGTGTCTGAAGAATTACAGCTTTCTGTGATGAAAGATGGCTCAAGAACCGAGTTTGGACTCGGTTGTTGAGCACGAAGAAATTTTCGGTATTCGTAGTCGTTTGTGCTACATTCTGACATCGGTTCTACAACCTAAAAAAGTATTAAAAAAATATGTTAATCATTGAAAACTACATGAATTGTATATAAGAAAAAAATTCGTAACGTAAATCACCTTATTGTGTTTCATTAGTTCTTGAGGATTATTGTTAGAAGAAAACCCGTAACTTAAATCACCTTTGATTCGATCTTGGCCCTAGAAACATTACAAAAGATATCAGATTATTGTGTATATAAAGTATAAACCACAAGAACAAGATACAAAAACAAATGTATCTTGTTCATAAGTCATAACATACCTGATGTCTCTTCATAAGTTGTAAGGATCATATGATGAAAACCCACAACTTGAATCGTCTCTAGTGATCATATCTTGATCCTAAAAACATCACAAAAGATATCAAATTTATCATCTTTAAACACAAAGAACCACACATAGAACACTAGTATCTTGTTCATATTTCATAACATACCTGATGATTCTTCATAAGTTGTAGAGGATCATATGAAGAAAACCCGACACTTGAATCATCTCTATCGTTCATATCTTGGTCCTAAAACATCACAATACATCAAATTAATCATTTGTAAACTACAAGAAAGATATATAAAACTAAAAGACGTGAAATTTTGTTACCTGATTTTTTCTTGTAAGATGTAGAGGATCTCTAATGTCAGCTTCCATTAAAGAATCTTGAGAAACTGATGCAGGAGTACCCGTTAATTCCCTAAGTTTTTGCTCCAAAAGGGTGCTTAAAGCATCACCTCCAATAACATTATAGTTCAAAGATGATGATGATGAGTTTGAAGCGTTATTTGTAGGGATGATTGGACGTGAAATTGGAGATGTGAATGTGAATGAAACAACGTCGTTTCTATTACTTCTATAACTTTTATCTCTTACAACATTTTTTTCACCATGATTATTGTCTTCCATTGATCGTTTTCTTCTAGTGGTGGAATATGGTTCCTTTTTATGGCTACTTTTCATGTTCTCCGAGACTTTACTTGAACTTTTTTGGGAAGAAATTTGTTTTCTAGTTTGTGGCGTTGACTTTCCTCGGTCAACTAAACTGTTTTGTTTCTGATTGTTTTGCTTTAAAACATTTAAAGAAACCGGATTCTTTTGTGTGTTTCTTTCGGTGTTTGAATGAGTTTTGACCGATTGAGTTCGATGATTCAACCCTTCACGTTTTTGAACATTAGCTTTCGCTTGAAGAGCTAAAGAAATCGACTTTTTTGGTTCTAAAGATTGTTGTCCTTTAACATTCTTAAACACCATTCGATTCTATCCCCCTTCTAGAACCTTCCGGAACCTTCGGTTTTCTACTCAGATTCTCCTTCGAGACTTTAACCCTAAAAGGAACCGAAGAAGATGGCGATGGTGACGATGAAGATGATCCACCAAAAGGTATCTTCGTTGCAGCTTCCATTATACTTTTAGGGTTACTTGATGACACGAATTTTGAATTCTTGATAGGAGATAAAAGATTGTGTCGAGTAATCGGGATTGATTTAGCAGATTTTGGAGGTAAAGTTTCGGTTTGAAACTTCTCAAATGCTCTCTTTTGAGGTGTGGATTTTATCGCTTCCATTTTACAATCAATCGATTCAAATTTAGGGTCTTTTGTGATATAAGGTGTCGATGAATCTTTATAAGATTGAGAATCAAAAGATGGATTTGAATACGTGTCTGAGAAGTTAAAAGTTGGCAATGAATCTAACCCCATAAGCCTCGCAACTACCCCAGGAGCTTTAGTTCCATAATTATCATCATCAGTTATCGAAGTTGCACAACTGTAATCGCTACTTTCTTTATAACTCAATCCACCTATCATCTCATCTTCTTCCATCTGTAAGTTTTCATTGACTTTTAAGTTTTGAAGAAAGTCAAAGTGAAAATTAATGGGAATATAGAAGTATTTACCATGTTGAATCGTGTCATAGGCATGTTGCCATCGGTTCTCTTTGTTTGCTTCGGTTGTTCTACACGAAAGATGATAAAATGTAAGGGTAAATGTGGAAAATCACAATGTAGGGACTAATATTGTAAATTATGGAGATGGATTTTTTATACCTGGTGATTCTGATTTGCTTGAGAATAACTTTTTGCGGGATTTTGCGTTCCAATCAAAAAGATGGAGAAAGCCGCCAACATAGCCACCACTTCCGCCGCCCTTTGATCCGTGTTTTTGAGCTCCCATTGTTTCTTGTGTTTGATGGTTGGACAAATGCCACTACTATTTTGTCCAATAACCAAATTCCATCTGTGAATTTTAATGATTTGATTCGATATGTTAGTAGTTTGAGGTTTTTGACATGATGAATATAGATAAATTGTTAACAAAAGCTTCAAAATGACTACAAACAATGATAAAGATGAAGCACTCATTGGAATTTAAAAAGGTCAAATTTAACTTAAGATGATATATTCTACAAATAAGCAAAAATGTTATGAGTAAAAAGTTGTAGATATGTAATATTGGTACAAATTTTAATTCAAATACTTAAATTTTTCCTACTTAACGAAGAAAGTCAAATATTGACCTCATTCAACTCATAATTCCACACCAGAAACAAGCAGGAAAATCAAATCCAAGAAAGGGGATATAAAAAAAATGTTAACACCAACAAATCCATTTATAAGTCTTTACCTTTAACTTTATATTAAACAATATGGTCAATTAATCACATTCTACATATAAAGGATATAATAAACAGAAGTTGATTAAATATAAACAGGATGAAAACTTCTGGAAGACTCATTAATATACGCAGTAAAAAGTCTTAAGGTGTGACATCATACATAACAAAGAGTAATTGATCACATTCAAGTCATAATCCCATTTCAAAACAACCATAAAAAAAAAAATTAACGAATGAAATCTATTCAATAATCATAGGTATAAAGAACTCCGTTATCATAGAAACAGGATCAAGATTTCATAGAAACCCATGATTATAAATAGTTAAAGTCTTTACCTTTGACTACATACTCGACAACGATGGTCGATTAAACCACATTCGACTAACAATAATCGAAACCTAGAATAGGAGAATCCCAAAATCATCAAAAATAAACAAACCCAAACCCGATTCGGTAAAAACATGACTAAAACATCGCAAAATAAGGTCACACAGAGCAAAATTCTTCAGCTGTGAACATCACAGCTAAAATGACAATCAGACAAGCATCAGCAAAACAAAACAGAAAATAACAAGAAACAACATACAATCAACGAAAAACCAACCAAAGATAGAAGAATATAGCAAGAACTCATCAAAGTAAACAAACCCTAAACCGAAAAACTTTACCTAAACAAGAAATGATGACGATCGGCAAATGGGTTTCGCCATTTTCAGCTCTTCGATACCCTGAAGCTTCCAATCGTTAAAGAAACATTTGAATTTGCAGAGATTTTGAGAGAAAATTGTAACGTTATCTAGAGAGAGAAAGAAAGGGAACCCTCAATCTTTGTGTGTGTATAGTGTTTCTTTTTAGTGGTTGCATTGATTTTCAATCCAAAAGCTTTAAATGGGAACATCAAATTGCTTGAAAACGGCAGAGTATAAAAAAATATATTTTTTGATTATTTTAATGTGGAATTCTTTTTGAAACAATAAAGTAATGAAATCATAGAAAATGCCAAAAAAAGCTACAACGTCTCTTTAAGAGAGAGAGGGGGATAAATTTCAAATTACGAATGAGATTGTTGTTGAATGCTAAGATCTTTCCAGTGCATCGCGGTACACGGTATCGAAATGTTGTTTATCACATTTACATCCGACGGTTGAGAAAATTTATTGGTCAACACTGCCTTGGATCATGTATTTATGGGTCAGACTTTTGGGCCTAAAATATAATAAGTCCGTTATGATGATACTGGTTCGTTTTATTAACTTTCTCATGTTATTATTAAAATTAATTAACTTATTATTAAACATAAACAAAATTAAATATACATACACAACTATAATAGTATTAACTTATTGTCTTGAAATAAATAAAAAAGAAAGGTATAAATCTACCAACCAATTATTTTTACTTTTTCAAAAATGATGGTGAAAGGTTTTTTTTCATATATATTTCTTCACAAACTTAAATAAACATTTATTTTAAATAAAATGATGGTGAAATGTTTTCTTCACACATCTATAATATTAACTTATTGTCATTGGATATGAATAAAAAAGAAATGTATAAATCTACGGGATATATACACTAAATACCCAATATTTTCAATGATTTGACAAGAAAGTACTAACCTTTATTTTTTTTTTTACAGTAAATTCCTAACTACCGGCAGTTTTTGACACGCTTACCCTTATTTGCCGGTTAGCTGGTAATCATGACTTTACTATCAAAAAAATAAAGTTTAGGACTTTCTTGTCAGATCGTAAATTAAGACTTTACTACCAAAAAAATAAAGTTTAGGACTTTTTTGTCAAATCGTTGAAAATATTGGGACTTTAGTGTATATTCTTGGTTTCCCTAGAAACATAAATTTTATCAGCCTCGTGAGAGGACAGATTGTACAAACACAAAAAGCACACACCTAGTCAAAAGGGTGTGAATGTAGAGAAGGGGTAAGAAGGGCAGTTTCGTCTTTTTTGGTTTCTTAGTTCTCCATTTTTAGGACTGCAAAAAGTCAACACAACCCTGGTTCTTTCTTTCTTTCTTTCTTGATTATCTCCATTTTTTTTAATGTCGATTTGTTGATATTAAAAAAACTATTTAACAAGAAGCAAACGTTAAGGATTTCAATAGGATCTAACTGACCAGAGAATGTTCCAATACCTTTTATGCTTAAAAACCATCATACCATTAAATTTCTAATAAAAAATAAGGGATATATACACTAAAGTCGCAATATTTTCAACGATTTGACAAGAAAGTCTTAAACTTTATTTCTTTACAGTAAAGTCCTAATTCACAATTTGATAAGAAAGACATAAACTTATTTTTCAATAGTAAAGTCCTAATTACCGACTAACCGACAAAAAAATGTAAGTGTCAAAAACTACCGGTAGTTAGGACTTTACTGTCAAAAAAATAAAGTTTAGGAATTTCTTGTCAAATCGTTAAAAATATCGGGATTTTAGTGTATATATCCCTAAATATACCACCCAACTATTTTTACTTTTTCAAAATGATGGTGAAAGGTTTTTTTTCATATATATTTCTTTACAAACTTAAATAAACATTCATTAGATAAACCTTTATTTATTATTGTATGAACAAAATAATTATATGTTAATACCTTGATTTTATTATTATTATTATTAGATACGTAAGGTTCGAAATATCTAGTGAGGTGTCAAAGTACATTTAGGTCTGGGTAGTATTGATGTCGAAGTCCATCACTTCGAATGTATGTATTATATAAGGAAGTTTTAGAGGTCGAAGTTTAAATGTTTAGCCCTTACATATTTTTTGTATGCGTCTGTATCACCCTATAAATTGGGTAAGTATAGGAGTCGAGAGCAGCTTTTGGAGCTTTTGTGCTTTTACTCTATTGTGTTCTCTTGTACTGTTTAGACGCAATTAGCGAGTCAAACAGAATTTATTTACATATGTCTTCTTAACACTTTCAGTTCTTAATACTCGATTCAAACGAACTACATTTGGTATCAGAGCAGGATACATTCAATCTTCTGGTTTTCTCGTCTTTTTCCAAAGTTTTTGAATCGCTCTTTCCGATTCAAAAGAATTTCGCACTTTTGATTAAGGAAACCTGTTCTTATTGATTGATTTGTTTCGATTGTGCTATCGTTTGATAGATCGAGTGTATTCTCAACAATTTCTGATAGATTCATCCGCTAAATCTCTTTTTCTGAATCTTTTTGCCATTTTTTTTCCGTACAATATTGGCGAATTTCAACATGAACACAATGTCTAGATTTTCTCCTCTGCTTGGATCTTCTACTAAGATTTCAATGCTTATTCTAGAATACTACAAGAAATGGGTAGATCGCATGGAGGATTACCTCAATGGGATTGATGAGGATCTATGGAGATGTATCACTCTTGGGAATTACCATCCAAGTATGTTTGATCAAGTCGGAAATGCATGTTCAACTTCTGGTATGGCATCTCAAAAGGACAAGTATGAAGCAAATGATAAGAAGTGTCTTCGTGAACCTCGTGATGCTCTTCCACCAGTTGTTTACAATTTTGTTAGAGGTTGCAAGACTACTAAAGACATCTAGGATACTTTGAAGGAAAAGTATCAAGGAAGTGAGAAGACGAAGAAGAGCTCGATGAAGCAGTTGTTGGATAAGGTGTCTAAGTCCATAACTTATTTAGTATATACTTGACCCGACCCGGCATGGTCCATTTGGGTTGCACTTCACCCGAACTATTTATATGGATAACATTATGAGAAGAGTATATTTGCGGCTTATTAATATCTATAAGCTTATAATATATAATATGAAATTGTATTATTTAATTAGTATTCGTCTTAAATTAATTATGAATTAATTAGTGATCAAATGGTGACTAATAAACATTGGCTATTATATTTATATAGTGTGGGCTAACACTCCTTATGTAATGGGCTAAGCTTATATGGGAGTCCATGGATGATCCATGGAGCTCTTAAACCATGGATCCTTGGAAAGGAAAAGACATGGGTTATTAGGGTTTACCCTAATCATGTGCACTATATAAACAAGCTTGTGATGCATGAATGACACCCTAGTGTGTGTGAAGAAGGTGGCCGATTTCTAGAGCATAGATATTACTCTCTCATAAGTTTTCCAAGTTTGTGGTGATTTGTGATTTCATTTGAGGCATTCCATTATTGGTGCTTGGCTCTCAAACTCTAAGGAATCAATTCACAAACAAAGGTATGTAATTCATCTAGTTCTTTTATGTTTAAAAGTTCCCCATGCCATGCTAGATAAGTTATAAACCTTGGAAAACAAATTTGCATGTATTTTAGACAAACATAGATCCAAGGTTTATTAGGGTTGCATGTACACTTAGGAAGTGTTAGAATGCTCAAAACCCAACAGTGGTATCAGAGCCTAGGCTTGTTTGTTGATACTTGACGCAAAATTGTGTTAAAAATAAAATTGTTTGCTGTCTGAACAGTGGATCGCCGAGTCCATGGGGGGGACTCGACGAGTCCAAGTGAAAATTCATCCTACTCGTCGAGTAGGTTCGTGCACTCGACGAGTAGAATGAACTGACAGCAGATTTTCGACTTTTGTTGCTGGAAATGGACTAGAAACATTACCCTAAAACTGTTTTGGTGTTTTAAAACCTGTTTTAGATGGTGTAATAATGTTTTATGCTAATCCATTTACAATGGCTTATATCAAAATTCCATGATTTTATGTGCTCATATAATTCTTGAAATTTGAAAATTGATGATCATGTTCATGTTCTTATGAGTTTTAGAAAATGATAGGAATTATTTGCTGAATTGTTTCATTTAATTCTTGATCATTTATGTTTTTTAATGGAGTCCATAATTTGTCCTCAAGTTATGGATATCCAAAGGTCACTTTCTTTTAAAAACACACATTTAAAACACATAAGTTACATAAAAATGAAGAGTCTTCATTTTTTTTTGAACCATTAACTCATAAGTTATGAATGAAAAGTTTTGAAAAGTTCAAAAAAACTTGCCCTCAAGTTTTGGAATTTTTAAATTTACACATATTTAATATACTTTAATTCCAACCTTAGAGTTTTAAAAGTTAACATTCAACCCTTATACTATTTATAACATTTAATGGTTAATATTATATATTGTATAAGATCAAGTCGTTTTACCGTTAGTAGGCCTCATTCACGAAGCCGGTCTATAAGGGGGGTATAAGGTTGTTGCCTATAAAATGGCAACTAAATGGGTGTCCATTCTCACCCACCGCTTCCTTGATCGGTGGAGGGTCGTTAGCCGAACGGGGGGTTAGGACAATGACTTTAAATTCTCATTAAAAGTATAATGAATATTATAAAGTAACTAAACTTTATAAATTCCCAATCTTAGTTACTTTAGGAAAATGTGGAATGGTGCTAACCCATGAAATTCACACTTTGTACCTTACCAAGTCGTTGGTGGAGCGTGTGTGGTTAACCGGCACACTAACTTGGACTAGTAAGGATCACGAAGGGTGACTTAATGTTTATCATAGATCGGTGGTGGAGCGTGTGTGGTTAACCGGCACATCGATTAGGTGAAATATTAAGGGTACCAAGTGAGTTTGCATGGTTATTCACACCTTGTTTTGTGATCCTCGGCATCCCAGTCACAAAACCTGAAGGGCACAATCGAGATTGAAACATGCCATTGAAAGTTCAATGAATCTCAAAAGATCTAGGAGTTTCAAATCCAATTAAACTTAATAATTATTTCGTTTTTCATGGTGGAAATTGGTGAATCGTCATTCACCTACCTTAAAATATTTATAGCTTGGATTACGCATCCCATCCCTCTCCAAGTTATAAAATATTGTGTTGGGTCCTAGCCTTAATATTTCATATTGGGTGTTATATTAAGGACTTAAAATCGACTAACTTGAATATCTCCCATT